GGTTCAACCATCCAGGTCAACTTTCTTTTATAAACAACATATTATAGGCTGACCCAAACCGTGATTGCGACTAGATCACTGGTTCAACCACCAATGAGAGGTTGAAAATAGTGTTTTCACCTGCAAGAGAAGAATAAAAGGACGTTGGTGGGACGTTTCATTCTTTTTCTTTTCACCTTAATGATGGTATTGACTTGAGTGAGGGAAAGGAAAGGTAAGCATCGACAGTTCAGACACCAACACCGTGTCGGTGTCACCGTGAAATATCCACACAAAATGCTATATACAGGATTAGAATGCTTCATGCCCCTCCACTAATCACAGCAACATTGAATGCAAGATTGGAATTTTGGGTTGAAATAATGTTGAATCAGTTCGTTTTGGTTATTGATTGAACTGAGGATGACGTTAGTAGATTCCGCAATAGACGGCAGAGATCATGAGAGTCTCCCCTGTTTGTCTAATCCCACGGTCACCCTTGGTATCAAACTATGAAGCCCCTACCCCCCCCGACCCCTCTGTGTTTTGGGTTGAACCTTGAATTTGATTCTAATGCCATTTGCCTTATGTCTGTATTCACTTGAATTTCCAGGCAAATTCTGTGCCAAACAAACAACTGGGCCCAGTGGATCATTAAATGAAAATAGAAAGGGAAAAGGAAAAGTTGTCGACCATCAAACGTACAACTCCCCCATTGCCGTCCATTTGTGATCAAACTGTGATGGGTGGGGAGGCCCATTGACACCCGAAGAAAGAACCAACATGGGCCCATTTCATGGGTGCAATGTGTCTTGTTTGCCAAAATCAGTCTAATAAAGCAATCTTGAAACAGTGGGGTCCTACTATCCCTTCATGCTCTAGCTAGGCTTTTTTCTTTGCCTACACTGATGAAATGAAACCATATACATAATTTACATATACCTCTTTAGCTTGTTCAGTTTACATCCAACTGTCCAAGGAGAAGGAATATTAAGGATTTCAACTGAATAAGCAGACCCTATACCACGTTCGGCCTCTTTGCCTTCAGACATTTAAAGATAAGAATACCCCAATATTCCAAACTTGTTACTTTTGCCATTTTTGAGTGGAGGCATTGTTGTACTTTTGAGTGCCTTTAATCAGAAGGGGTATCCCATTTATCAGCTCTGAACAAAGTCCAATGAAATTTTAGAAGTCTCAAGTTAATTGATGAGGACGGATTTGGTCCTCCAGTGACATCATGACATATGGTATTTTGCTTTAATTAAAGTGGTGGGGTTCAACCTGGTGATCTGTCTTCGCCAACTTGATAGAAATTTAGTTGGCGATCTCGTTCATAACTCAAGGCGGCTTGCAGCACCTCGTCCAAGGCCGACCTATGGTACCTCATCAGTACAGTTGAAGTGATCTTGATGAGGAGCGACCTCCCTTGATGGCTCGTCGATTTGATTGAGGTCCAAATGGTGATTTGCGAGATGTGCTCGCCGACCAATTTTGCATGCATATCCCATCACTCCCGGGTTTCTCAGAAGTTGGCCTTTGCCCCAAATGTTTCGGAGGAAACCGAACAAGGTGCGAAGACTGGTCTATGTGCACGACTACCTTCGATGACTTCGGACCGGATAGGCACATCTTCCCAGAGACCTCGGACGTAATGCGTGAAGCCCACGCCAAACAACGCTTATATAAATGCACCAACTCCAATGACATAAGGTACATGCGATTATTTGCTTACTAGCTCTCATATTCACAAGCTTTTAGCTCGCAACATAACCAATAAACTAACTTAAACATCGGAGTGACCATGTTGGGTTAGCCACCTTGGGTTCTTTGAGCTTTTCCCCTCTTGTAGTTCAACTCGCCAGCCAAGCAACCGACGTTCGAGCTTCCATCCAGCTAAGAGCGAACAGATCGTGCACCATTAGTAATATATACAGGAAATTAAGAAAAGTTGAACCGGATGGTTTGTTGTGTATAACTCTGTATGTGGCCATATGGATAACATTCAAGTTAACAAAAACATTTTTAATGAAATTGCTGCATTTTGAAGCCAAGGCCGGCAAGTTTATTAGTGAAGATTGGTGCTATTCGGTTTGAGGTATTTCGAATCGAAGAATCAGTTAGATAAGTCCCGCCAACTGAATGAGGCCGAGGTAGAAGGATGAGAACGTGTACTGAGGTAATATGCAAATATAAAGAGGATCAGAGGCCTGAGGAGTTGTTTCCCAGGCAGACACTCCGACTAGGGGTGATCATTTCAGCCCGCCCGGGCCCAAGCCTGGCCCAACCCGCAAATATTTAAACTTGCACATTTTGTGTATAATGTATACATGTTATTTTACATTATATTATATATTTTGTATATATAAATATTATAACATGACATGTATAATATATATTATATGTAATATTTTATATTATATAATGTATAAAATAAGTTTATATGCATATTATGTCATTTAATATATAGATATGTAATATTTTATATATGAGTGGCATTGGCCCGGAATCAGACCCAGCCCGGCCCAGGCCCGGAATCAGACCCAGCCTGGCCCAGGCCCGTATAGACCTAGGCTAAGACTTATGTTTCTGACCCGAAACCCTAAACCGGGCCGAGCCTAGGCCTAAGCTATAACCCTTATCATAAATGCAAAGCCCGGCACGACCCATGATCACCCCTAACTCCGACACTCACGTTAATAAAGGAGATGAGTGTTTGATCAAAATGAATTGAAGAAAACAGACTAGTCCAGATTGTGGTAGATGCAAAGGATGCTGAGGCAGGTTGAGAGTTCACCTATAATGCAGCCATACTAAACTGTGCTGACGTTTTCTGAGGAGGTCGGTTACAGAAGCTAACATATAGTGACTTCGGCTAGCTCAGGCACCACCCGAGCAAAAATAACTTTGGAATCGGTGATGGGAAAAAAATTTTTGGTCCCACGTACATCAAATACAAGTGACGATAGTTTATTTGCAATGGGTTCAATGTTATGCCAGGAACACATGATATCCGAAAAATTTATGACCAAGCAACCAATATCATATATGCTAAACAATCAGGTGTAATTTATAAAAAAATTTATAAATAGATTTTAATTGGTCAAAAATCTTCGAATATCATGTCTTTCTAACATCATAAATTTTTCTATTGTAAAGAATTCGGGTATGACCAATCAATCGGTATCATAAATGCACTAACCAATCACGTGCAATTAATAAAAATTCATGATTAGGTTTTGGATGATTACTCGTGGATCTATAATTCTATATATACATGACAGTAGAGGCTTAGAGGCTAGAGGCTAGAGATTCAGTAATCATTAATCCAAAATTAAACTCTAGAATTCTAGACTTACGGTGGGTTGGCCTGTTGATTCTGTATACCATGGGCTTGTTTTTCAACACCCACTAATATTTTTAGTAAATTATAAAGACCTTCTTGTATTATAGGGTCAGTGATAAATATCCCCTGAAATCACAAATACCCTGGACAATCTAAGAAAGATGATGGAAGGTGTTAAATTACCAAAATGTTCATTTAAGCTTTTCTGATTTTTTTTCTTCACCCTTTTCTCTTAAACCTTAATTGATCAAAAGTATCTTTTTTTTTCTCTAAATGGAACCAATTAAAATAATAAGAATTATTTCATTGGTATAGATGGAAAAGATTTTTATTTAATTATTAATTCATTTCATTGACATGAATGTATCTCTTCATTTTAAAATAAAAAAAAAATTATCCACCCTTCTCCAATAAATCAAGAAACTGGACGAAGCTATGAATTTATATCCACGAAAAAGAAACCTCTACCATTTTCCTTTAAATATTGAATCTTGAAATTTGCAAGAAACTATTGAAGCAATCAAGAGAATTTTAGTATCATATTTTGAAAATTAGTCAAATCATATATCGTTCAAATAAATAAGAAAATGATACTTTAAAAATTTAAAATATTTTAAACAGCTGCATGAGAATGATTTTTTTTAAAGTTAATTAACCAAACTTTAACCGAGGGATTACAATGACAGAACTTGGAGCCATTCCCACCCCACTCATAAAAAATTCTTGGCTCCGCCCCACAAAGTGAAAGTTGAGAGGGTATTTTCATGAGTTTACATTGGCACCTCACAAAGTGTGCCCCACAGGCGTCCCACATGCATATCTCAGTGTGCATTGGAAACATCTCTCGAAATTGTCATCGGGAGATGTTCTTCATGTACAGTTGGAATACAATGTAGGACATAGATATGAATTGAAAATCCACTTATCCCATATAGAGTGAGACCGGATCTGCTCCTTACATAGGGCGCCTCACATCGATCTCACACACACATCCTACCATATATTGGAAACATCTCCTGTACTTACAAATTATAATTCATGGGATATGTTTTCAATGCACGGTGGATGTGCCTATGAGATGCTCATGTGTGAAAAGCAGATCCCGTTCCATAGGGAGTTTGAATCTGCTCCTCACATTGACCTCACAGCATGTCTTAGTCACATATCAGGAATATCTCCCATACTTATATTTATTATTCATGGGAAGATGTTTCCTATTGACGGTGAGATATGGCTGTGAGGTGCATTCTCTGGGGAGCAATTCCCAATTCCCCCACTTAGGGTTTAAAATTTGAATTAGGATGAATCACCTACTAACTAAATAAATTCCAATACTAACTAAACAAATTCCAACACTCTACCAACTTTATCTAATACCCCACATCTCCCTATAAAATTGAGACCCATCATAAAAGTGGGACCTGTCATGTCACTATAAAACTGGAGCCATTATAAAAATTGGGACCGGTCACGTATCATGTATGAGATGTGTGGTGTCAAACTGTCATATGTTGCAGATGATCCGGACTCTTGAAATTTACCCTGTTGATTATAAAATGTCATCTTCGTAAATATGATAAATTTTGAACCCAGTTTGTTTGGCATGATCCCTATATAATAAACTCGTGAACTACCACCATCGACGTAACGCCAGTGCCACCTCTATTTCCAAAGTACCGCCACCCACAAGGTCGCTGGAATTATGCAAGCAACATTTTGCCAAGCTATCCCTCCAAAACTACCCTATCCATCGAAGCTTTCCCCGGTGTACAGACTCCCAACACGAGCTAAAATGATCTCGATGCCTGAAAGGCAAGTGTCGGTCCCAGATGCAGACAACTCGGTTGCCGCGTTCTGGGACTATCAGTTCCTTTTCGTCTCCCAACGGTCAGAGTCGGTGGAGCCTGTCGTACTTCGTACAGTCGATGGCGCGATCCCTGCCGACTTCCCTTCCGGTACTTACTACCTAGTAGGACCCGGTATATTTTGTGACGACCACGGTTCAACGGTTCACCCTCTGGACGGCCATGGATACCTCCGCGCATTCGTTGTTGATGGGAATTCCGGTGAGGTCAGGTTCTCGGCGAGATACGTTAAGACAGAAGCGCAGAGGGAAGAGTGTGAAGGAAAGACCGGGAGCGGGAGGTGGCGGTTTACGCATCGAGGGCCGTTTTCGGTGTTGAGAGGAGGGAAGAAGATTTTGAATACAAAAGTGATGAAGAACGTAGCGAATACGAGCGTGTTGAGATGGGGAGGACGGTTGTTATGCATGTGGGAGGGTGGCAATCCATATGAGCTTGAAACTGAGACGTTGGATACGGTTGGAAGATTTGACTTTGATGTGACGGACGACAGCAATTTGTCGTCAAAAAGAGGGTTTAGCGGTGGTTTTTGGGATTTTGCGGCTTGCCTATTGAAGCCGATCCTTTACGGTATGTGTCAGTTACGATTTTCTTTCTGCCATTAGAGATAAGAATTCTCTTTTTTTATTCAGAATCTCCTCTTATTTTATTTTGCCTTCACCTTGTTTGCTCTTCCTCTTGGGGCACGGGCCGGGGTGCACTTGTACGTCAGAGTGGATTTACATCGGTGTCCCATCTCGAATATAGGACGCTGATGTGCGTCCTATAGTGCGTAAGAAAATAGGACGCACTTGTACGTCAGAGTGGTATTGTGCGTCCTTAGGGGTGCACTTGTACGTCAGAGTGGTATTGTGCGTAAGAAAATAGGACGCTGATGTGATCCATCTCGAATATAGCAGGTTATATTATTTAGGAATTTTTGAACCGCAATCGGTAAAATATAAAAAGCTTCCCTAAAGTTTCTTACAATCATAAAAACTTCTCTTATAATTTTATTTTAACAAATATCTCCCTTGACCTTTTAAAAAATTCAATAAAAATCTCTCTTCCGTTACTGTCTCACATGAACAATGTTAGATTGATGCATCATTTTTTTTTTCAAATACTCATTCTACCCTTTTATAAATTATTTTATATACAAAATTACTGAAATAATCCCATTTTAATTCAACAAAAACTTCTTTTAATGATCATTTTAGTAATTTTACATAGAAAATTACTGAAATATGTTTTCTTGTTGAATTAAAATGGAATTATTTTAGTAATTTTGTATATAAATTAATTTATGAAAGGGTAGAATGGATATTTGGAAAAAACTGGTGCATCAATTTAACGTTTTCCATCCGGAATAATAACAGAAGGAAGGTTTTTGTTGAATTTCTCAAAAGTTCAGGAGAGGTATTTGTTAAAATGAAACTATATGGGAGGTTTTTATGATTGTCAGAATCTTCAGGGGAGATTTTTGTATTTTACCCTTATTTATACCTTTAGCTTCCGTCCGGCAAAGCCCATTAGAGCAACTTTATAGCTTTGCATTGAGAATATTCATACTTATGTGATTTATTTATAGGAGATATTCCAAATTTAAGGTTATAAATAGCGGTTGGAACGGTGCACGCACGAGCTTGCACTGAGTGAAGTCGATCCCGATCAATATACACATGAAGAAGGAATTAATATTTGCCCCGCACCTAGGGCGCCCCACGGCACATCCCTCCCTTTTGCACGAGATCACATTTGCACCCCATAGATGGTGCCTCCATGGGTGTCCTAGCTTCCTTTTGCATGAGATCATATTTGTGTCTCGTAGAGGGTGCCTCACAAATGCTCCACATGTACATCTCAATATGCATTGAGAATATTTGTTGAAGTTGTCAATGGAAGATGTTCCCTATTCACGGTGAGGATATGTTGTGGGAGTAGGTGAATTCCTTTTGCACATGCATTTAAGACCAATTCAATGGAGTTCACATCAGTGCTCCACAGGGGGTGCCCCATAACGCCCCACATTACATCCCAACTGTGTATTGGGAACATCTCCTAATGACAAGTACAGGAGACGTTCTCAATACATGCTGAGATGTGCATGTGGGGAGCATGTGGGACGCTGATGTGATCTCAATTCAATGGTGAAAGCTGAAAGGTGTCCTCTGATCTCTCATTATGGAGAGCGTAGATAGGATAGCATTCAAATTCAGATGATAAGCCAAAAAATAAACCGAACTAAATCGAATAAGCTAGTTCGGTTTGGTTAATTCAGATGTCGGTTTGGTTTGGTTTTTATTTCTTTAAAAACTTGATTTTCGGTTTTGGTTTGGTTTGATTGAGATTTTCAACTGAACTAATGGTTGTATCTAATTAAGTCTATTAAATATATAATATTCTATTTAAAACTTTATACTTATTAATTAATAATTATTATCTTTTTCAATGGCCAATTCGCAATTCCCCATTCCTATTGTGCTTTATAGCTTTAGGTCTATTCTAGCTTTTATTTAATAATAATTAATTAATTGTCTAGAGACTCTAAATAACTAAGGTGTTAAAACCTAGACTAATAATGAGTGCAGTTGTTTAAATAATTAGTCATTAAATTGTTCATTAAATGAGTGTAGTTGTATTAATTGTTCATTAAGACTTAGAATAATTATTAAAACCTATACTAAAGTCTAATAATTAATTATTCGTTAATTATTAAAACCGAACAAAACATCGAACCAAATCAAACTGAATTCGGTTTGAAAAGGTTCATTTCTAAACTCTGGTTTGATTCGGTTTGATTGTGAGAGATGGTCAAACCGAATATTCGGTTAGGTCATTGGTTTTAACCAAACTGAACCGAATCGACTGATTGTACACCCCTAGATAAGCTGCTCGAATTACTATGTATCCCGAGCAATCAATCACACCAATATTTTGTAACATTGGCCTTGTATGTATGTATGGAATTCACTCGTGGTTGGTTGGTTGCACACTGATAAACAAGCTTGGAACACGTATTTATCACTTGTGATATGATTATATAATTTGCAGTAGCTGTAGTAGATCTCAAGTTACATATTTGTTTTTCTTTCCTCTTGTTGAACGAATGAATTATGCAACGAACATTCTTTCTTATTTGGGGGACTTGACTCTTGGGGTGGTTCATGGATCGAATGTTTTTAGTAGGGCTGCAATTCGGGTAGGCCAACTCTAGCTCAATCTTAACTTCTAAACACCCAACCTTAACCTTAAGACAACCCGACCTTTAATCCAATCTACCTAACCCTAACTCAACCCAACCCAATTCGACCTTCTTCCCATCCCTGGAAATCTCATAGAACATCTTAATCTCAAATCTTAATTAAATTTCACTACATATATTAATCCTATGTTTTATTAATATTTATTTGTTAATGTTTTTATTGATTCTTTTAGTACAAAATTCATAAAAATAAGTGTTGAAATGACTACATTTTTATTATGAGTTGTGATTTATTATAGAATTTTTATGGGCTGCAAATAGACCTGTTCATGGGCCAGGCCGGGCTGGGCTTTTACTCATCATTAATGGAAATATGCTAGGCCCGAGCCCGAGCCCGGCCCGACCAACGGGCCTATAACTTGGGCCCGAGCCCGGCCCTGATAAAAAGCCCGAAACTCGAGCCTGAGCCCAAAGCCCGACCTAATAAAAAAAATTACAATTTTCCCTATTCAAATTAGAATTAAAAAATCAAATGTTTTTTTTTCCTATTTAAATGAACAATGGGCCTACAAGATGGTTTTTTTCCTTTTCTTTTACGTTTTAAAACACAGTTTTACATTCTTAAATCAAAAAATTTATTCAAATGGACATAATCACATGACCCATTTTAGGTCTAAATTTAGGTCGGGCCGGGCTGGGCTATTTTGACAAAACCCGAGCCTAGCTCGAATTTATTGCGGACCGGGCTTTTTGGCCCGAGTTTAAGCCCGCGGGCCTATAAACATGTTCAAGCCCGTCCGGGGGCCGGGCTGGCCCGTCGGGCCACTCGGCCCATGAACAGGTCTGGCTGCAAACTATGGGCGACAAATGGTAGAGGAAATGAAGAATAAAATATTCAAAGAACATAAAATATTCAACCCTAACCCAACTTGAAGTAAAATTGGGTTCATGAATTTCAACCTTAACCCTAATCCTAACCCGAGCATCAAACCGTCCCAACCCAACCTGACTTTTTTGGGTTGGGTTCGGGCCAACTTGGCTCAAGTTACAGCCTTAGTTTTTAGATGTGTTTCAAGGGATTCATAATGATTAAAATACACTCTTTTCTTTTTTCGATAAAAAACTCAAACCTCCCCACTTTTATCCTAAATATTAAGACCTTCTGTCTATCTTCATAATAGAATAAGGTGGCATTTGGTAGTGCTGAATTGACCATGAAACACTGAAAATTTTGCTTTCAGTACTCAGTAGTCATTTGTCTCTACCTCCCAATGGAGCCATCAGACACCAAAAATTGCTCCAAATGGTTTAAACGCCTAGCTAACTCCAAACACAACCTCTTCAGATGTCACGACATTTAGATTATCGAATAACTCCACTATATTCAAATGTTTGCAAAAACAGAAAGATAAATTCTCCACTGATTGATTTCAAGGATTTTTTGGAGTTTTTTTTTTCTTTTCACTCTTTAGATTTATAGAATGCCACTTAAGCCGTTATGTCTTATGAAAGAGTTAAAAAGATTAATACACCCCTTTAATCAAATTATACAATAACAATATAACCTATTTGCAGTATAACAAATACCTATAATGGATGCCATTGCTCATTGTCATAGGCATGGTGTACTCATTGAGATATCAAGCCAAAGACTGAAGCTCTTTGACTTGGTTTGGCCCTTTGCCTTCACAAGGGGCGATACATGAGGGGACCCTTGGAGCTTCATAGTCCATACTATATAGTGCTTGACGTTCTTTCAAGAAGGGATAACAATGAGAAAGTCGATGCATAGAGGTGCAGGGGATCTTTTCTCGAAAGATGCTTTGCAAAGACGTCTCAAGATTCTCTACAGAGCAAGGTGTTTAAGTGTTTTCTTATTTCAATATCTTTTTTCAGGGCAAATTTAAGTCTCACTTTGGCACCCGGATTTCAAAATGTATCAATCCAATATCCCAGTTTAGTCTAAAATTGTTAACTGCTGTTCAGTGGATGTGAAAGGATGTAAATTCCCTTTGGGTATTATCTAATTTTCTTTATTAATCATCTAAATGTCCTTTGGATTGTTTATCATTGCTTTGGTTCAATCTTGATTCATGAGAAAGAAGATGAATAATGTCTTATTTCGAAGGATAATTTTGACATTTTAAAAGTTTTAAGTTGTGCATGTCATCACGTAATATAGATAATTGATGGAATGCTAATGATAATGACTAAACTGGGACGTTTTGGGAATTCAGGTACTAGATTGGTATGTTTTTAAATTTGGGTACTAAAGTGAGACTAGGCCCAAAGTACAATTTACCCTTTTTTAGCCTGTTTACTATGAAAACACCTAAATCTAATAGAGAGGTCATCTCTCTTCCCTTGCTTTCAAGTTTCTACCAATTATTTTCATAGCCAGTATATTTATTTATTCATTTATTATTATTATTATTATTATTATTATTATTATTATTATTATTATTGTTGTTGTTGTTGTTGTTGTTATTTGCAATTTAGGGATCATCCATGGTTTTTCTACTTATTTTCTATCTCTCTTTTTTGATTTAAAATTGATTTTTAAATCTTGCTAGACTTGAAATTTCTTTTCTGGTCTCTCTGTTTTAGATGCTAATTAATTAGACTAGTTCACGCTTAATGGTTCAAAGTATTTATTGGACTGGATTGAACCTGGTCCATCTATTATGGATTTATATTGGACTAGGTCAGATTGAACCAATATCCGGTGCATTGATAGAAGATAAGAGTATGAATGCCAATGGATCAATTTGAATAGTTTGGACAGTTTAGACATTGAATTGGACCCTAGTCCAGAGCGGTCCAAATTATTCATCGGATTGGATTAATTAGAGCTGGTCCATCTATAATGGACTCGTATTGGATTGGATCAGACTGGACTAATATCTAGTGAGGTGTTGATATTTAACACAAACGGTTTCAAGTCTTTTGCCCTTTAGGTTTTGAAAAACAAAAAGGGTAAATAATAGATAGGTACTTGTACTTTGGGGGCAGTGGGCTTGAATTTTCAAGTGCAACATTTTAGTACTTTGAACTTTTAGAAATATACACTTCAGCCTAATTCTATTAAACCTAATGTTATAGAGAGGGTAAAGTTACAAAAATGTCCATATTCAAATTTTCTTTTATATTTCTCACTGTTTTTCGTTGTTCCATTCAAATGCTTTTATTTTTTGTTAAAAAGAAGTATATAGATGGTTTTATATGAAAAGAAAAAGTAAAATAAAGTTTATTGAGCAAATAGTAATCTAAACACGGGCATTTTTTTTTTTTATAAATTTGCCCTCAGTGTAACGTCTGTTTTAACAGAGTTGGAAGTGTATATTTTTCTTAAAATTCAGGATACTAAATTGTCCTACTTAAAAAGTTCATGCCCTAAGGCTATGTTTGATTTGAAGGAAAAGATAGGGAAAAGAAGGGAAAGGTAAGAAAACCTTTACTAATCTTGCACAAATTTCCTTATCTTTCCTTTCATTTCCTTATCTTTTTCTTCAAACCAAACATAACGTAAGTGTCATTACCTCCGAAATACAAAGTACTTATTTTTTATTTAGCCAAACAAAAAAGCAGATTTTTTTTTTTTTTTGCTTTACAGATTTCAAACAGTTAAAAAAGAGCCATTTTACTTTTCAGATTTAGAAGTTTTATCCAACTCCGAATCATTGACGGATTTTTACTTTTTTATTTTTTATTTTTTATAAATGAAATGGATGTTTGGGCAGGTGTGTTCAAGATGCCTCCAAAGAGATTGCTGGCCCACTACAAGATGGATTTTCAACGAAACAGACTGCTAATAATGTCCTGCAATGCGGAGGATATGCTGCTCCCTCTCAGCCATTTCACCTTCTACGGTGATTGCATGAGAAAATTAATTAAAGCTTTTCTTTTATTCTTTATAACCATCAAATAAGTTGTTTCTGACAACCAACTCTCTACAGAGTTCGATTTGGATTTCAAGTTACTGCAGAAGCAAGAGTTCAACATCCCCGACCACTTAATGATCCACGATTGGGCTTTCACAGATAACTATTATGTTGCAGTAGGCAATCGCATCAAACTCGATGTAATAGGTAAACCTCATTTCATTGCTTTTTATTTATTTTTTTTTCATTCATGTCTTAACATTAGTTATAATAATGCAACTACTTATTTTCTGAACTAGGTGCATGCACATCTTACATCCTATTTAGATCTATAGTTCAAACAAACAAAATATCTCTCATTGAGGATATAAATATTTTTATAATCATCTAATACTAGTTTGACCAATTTTACCTTGGTCCAGACCAGGTTCAAACTATATGGCAAAAAAATTTATCTCATTACTGGTCTATTATTTAAAAAATCTTCGAGCTCATTTGGTTCATGGGAATAGGGGGTCTGAAATTGGAATGGGCTATTCTGATTTCAACTGTTTGGTTGGGTGGAATTGGAATCGAAGGTTCAAAATTTGATATGTATCGTATCAGAAGCCTCTTGATACGCTCCTATAGGGAGTGTTTTGGGGTTTAACCCGGTTCAGGGGTAGAAGGGCCTTAGATCGACTCCTCTGAACCAGGTTCACAAAAAAAAGGAGTGAGGGCTGATACAGCCCGATATGCCCCTACCGACATATTGGGCTGTATCGATATTTTGAACCATGTTGAAATCCCATTCCCATTCCTGATGGAATGACATTTCCCCATTTAAGGGAATGGCCATTCCCTCCCTCTCCCTTGGGAATGAGATCCCATTCCTGTCTGAACCAAACAGACTATGAAAATATACTATTCTGATTCCGATTCCAACTATAAATCAAACGGACCCTTAGTTTAGTTACAAGGGGAATATGGTTAGCCTCTAACACATGAGTTTCAGGATCATTGCAAGCACTATGTGGAATGTCTCCCATGATTTCTGCATTGTCAGTAAACCCTAACAAGCCCACATCACCCATCTACCTGCTTCCCCGGTTTCCTGAAAAGCTATTTGAGGATCGAGACTGGAGGGTGCCCATTGATGCTCCTTCACAGATGTGGCTATTACATGTTGGTAATGCATTCGAGCAAAGGGATAAGAAAGGGAATTTGGAGGTGCAAATACAGGCTAGTGCTTGTTCCTACCGGTGGTTCAATTTTCAGAAGTTGTTTGGTAATATTCCTTTTTTCCCTTTACACCATTAAGTGTAATATCGTAATGCGGTTTATCAAAAAAATTAGTAGGAAAAGAAAATTTATTGTCAACTTTCCTAAAAACTTTTCCTTTCTCACTTGTTTTTTTAGGAATTAGACACAGCCTAAGGTAAGAAAAAATGTTCATATTGGTAATTGTTATTTTTGGTAAGAATTTATAGTTCTAAGGGTGCAAGTCAGGTGGGCTAGGTCAGGTTTATGGTCAACCCAAGCCCAACCCTAAAATTTGGGACCAAAGTTTGAGATTGGACCAAGCTCAAGGTGCAAAACCTTGTATTTTGTATGTATTTATTCTGTACATAGTTGTATTTGTACTTTTTCCAAATACACGTGTATAATGCAAAATCTAATACAATGTGTATTTCTAAACCTTGTATTTACATCGTACATATTTGTATTTGTACTCCTAAGCCTTGTCTTTGCATTTTACATATTTGTTTTTGTACACTCCCCTGTGTTTGGTTGCAGTGCAATTTTATTTGCACTAGTACAAATGCATGGGAGTGTAAGTGAAAAAAATGCAAATTTTTGTTTGAATTTGTTTTGGGTTTTACATTATTTTGATTCATGTCTTAATTTACTTCATTTTGTACTGCAATCAAACAAAATAAACTAAAATTTGAAACAAAAATAGATTAGAATTTACACTCAAATCATTTGCACTGCCATGATTTTGCATCAGTACAAATTTGTTCGCATTGCAACCAAACACAGTCAGGCTCAATTTGAAAGGAGTACAAATACAAACATGTAGAATGCATAATCTTTTATTTTGTATATATTTATACTGTATATATTTGTATTTGAATTTCTTCCAGGGCTCAGTTTGGGAAAAGTATAAATACAAATACGTACGTTCAGTGCAAAACATTGTAAATGTTATTTCTAAACAAATTAGGCTAATCTCAAGTTATATGAATAAATATCTTTCTTTAACAGGATATAATTGGCAAAGCAATAGATTGGATCCTTCTTACATGAATGCAAGCGAAGAAGAAGAGTTATTGCCACACCTAGTTCAGGTAACCTCTTTCTATTTGATAGGCCTTATCAAAAGAATATATGGAGAAGTACTGACAGGCCCATTGTAGAATTTTGATTTCTAGTTCATATCCTCAATATTTCAAAAGGTCAATTACCCCTATTCTATGCATCAATGCTCGTCTGTGAATTGGCATCAATTCTGAATTGACACCTACCCCAATTGTATTTTGTGCCTATAAATTCTGACCTTGGGCTGAACCCCAATCTCCCCAAAAAATATTCAATCATTTACTAATTTAGTTTAATTTTAATATAATATCAGATTTATAGCATAGAAATAATTATAATGCTCAGAAAGCAGTACATGCTAATTAACTTGGCTGAATTAAATCTAAATCCAAAGGATAAGGCTCAAATTGAATTTGAATGTTAACAAATCAATTTGGATTTATGCATATCCAATTACAAAAAAAATGAGAAAAAACATGGGAATGGACTGATGCTAGTCATGCCATTTATTATTGAGCTCTGCAAAGGACCTGAGAATCTTTCATCTAGCAACTTGTGATCAGAATTAGCCCAGCCCCCCATTCAGCTTAGAAATTTCTGGGCCCAGGCACGTGTTTTCTCACATGGGCCCAGATATAAGATGGGTTGAACTGGATTTCAAACCTCATGGTCTGGTATGTATATATAGACATCCTATACAGGAACTGGGATTAGCTGAACACGATGTCTGTTCAGTGAGCTATACAATGGGTGTAGCCCATTCCCAATTTAGGTGTAGGTGGGATTCGATCTCAAGTCTTCATTACAACTAGTAAGAGACTTTATCAACCAGCTTGTTGGCATTTTGTATGCTTAAAAGCACCCAAAATAAGTTAGAACTGGTGTTTGTAAAAAAAGCCTAAGGCTGCATTTGGAAACGATGCAAATAAAGTGTAAATCTCGGTTCAGGGTAAATTTGCACTCTGGTTCACTTTTGCATGTGTTTGACAACATTACATTTTTGCATTGACAAATGACAGACGAATGTATATTTACATTGATAACAAGATGTAAAAGTACATCAATAAAAAATAAGTAAATTTGCATTCAAGTGGACTTTTGATAAAAAAAGGCATATGTTTTATTGGAATTCATGTTTGCATCCATTACAACTAAAAGTCTGTTTAGTAAGAAGGTAACTTTGTCAGTGCAAAACTAACTCAATTTTTGCAATTTTTACCCTCTACATCATGGTTTTTAAAAACGAACCGGTGACCGAACTGGTCAGGGGTCCGGTTACTGGTTTGAACAGGCCGGCCACCGTTCTGACAAAACAAATAAAAAATTAAAAAATTGGAAACTGGTCAAAACCGTTCGAACGGTTAACCAGCCGGTTCAACGATTTGCTGACCAAAATCAACAGTTTTGGAAAAAAAACAATTTTGAAAGAAAACAGAATCGGTCAGGTCTTGGTTTTTCCAGTCCTACCGTTTGGTCCAGTCCGACTTTAAAAACAGTTCTCTACATATTTACATTCACATTTATTTACATTGTTTCCAAACGCAGCCTAAAGTTGGTTAACTTCTTTCCCAAAAGCCACCTTAATCCAGTTATGGATGATTTGTATTACCTGTAGAATTCCTCCTTCCTTACCATAAAGCCTCCATGTGCAAGGCATATGCAAGTACTTTATACAAAATTGTAATTATCAAAGATGAAACAAAATGGTGGATTTTGAGAATTTAAAGAAACAACAAATGGAAAAATGTCATAAACAAAACATATAATTATATTTGTTTTGAGGGACAAATTGATGAGGAAAAATAGTTGCTGTAGTGATAAAATGTTATGGTCTTTAGACTTAGTTTGGGAAGTGCAAGTATAAGTATTTGCAGTGCAAATATAAGGTTTAGAAATGTTTTGTTCTGTACATATTTGCATTAATTTGCAGTCTTTCAATTTCAAACTGAACGTTAGTGAGCTATTTATTGGGCGATATTAAGGAGAATCAGTGTAAATATTTTTTATTTGGATGGACATATAATTATCCTTTGAGAGTTGAGAATCAGGATCCAACCAATTGACTAATGCCACTTTTTGTACAATTATATATGTAACTCATCTCTTACCCTTTAAATCATATGAATCTCTTAACTTTTCTCTCATAATTTTCCTATAATAACCTTTACAATCACACAGTGTTTTTTTTTCTCTAAATTTTAATCATAGCAATGTGCCTAAAATTTAGATTCTCCTATGTTACTCATCCATTTTTTCAATATCACAAGGTTCCATCTTATGAATCATTGGCCACGTTTGAGAGTGCTTAAGTGAAAAATAAGTGTTTATTTGAATAAACACTTATTTGTATTTGGCACCCAACTTTTTCAAGTGCTTATTTAAAAAAAACACTTATGTTTGGTAGTACTTTTATTTAATAAGCACTTAAATAAGCATTTGTAACTACTTTATCATTCATTTTCTTTCAAATTTTAAAAATATACCCTTTGAAAGCACTTTTATTAAATTTCTTTTATAAAAGTACTTTTGTGAAAGTACTTTTATAAAAACACTTTTATGAAAGTACTTTTATAAAAGCACTTCTGTAAAAGTACTTGTACCATTAAGAAAGCACTTTTGTGAAAGTACTTTTATGAAAATACTTTTATTTATAAAGTGTTTTCATAAAAGTACTTTTGTAAAAGTGCTTTCACAAAAATGCTTTCATAAAAGTACTTCCGTAAAAGTACTTTCATAAAAATGCTTTCATAAAAGTAATTTCTTAAAAATGCTTTTGTAAAAGTACTTCTATAAAAGTGTTTATGTAAAAGTGCTTTAATAAAAGTACTTTTATAAAGTTCAACTAAGGATAATTTTATGTGGCATTTTAAAATTCAACTAGGGATAATTTTGGAAGAAAAAAATTGAATAAGTGCTTATTGTATTAGTCAAAAAAAGCTGGAAATTTGGGTCTTTGGGCTTAAAAAATAAGCCTTTATTTTAAAAATGAGCACTTATTTTTAAGCACTCCCTAACATGGCCATTGACGAATTTCCAAAGAGGACTAGAGGTATAGATTCAATTTTGCCAACCTTAGGGGGTGTTTTAAATCGTACAATATATCTCATCATCTTTCATGGATCATACAATATTTGTATTCCAACATTTGTTTTTGTTTTACAAACCATCATTTTGGTTGTTTCAAAAGCATGAATTGTTTTTTCTGAAGGCTTAGTTTGGAAAGAGTACAAATGCAAATATGTATAGTGCAAATACATACAAAATATAAGGTTTTGCACTCTACATATTTGCATTTGTACTCCTTCCAAACTAAGCCGAAGCAAAACCAATTTGTTCTTTCTTCGCAAAAGAAAAACACAATTCAAGAACATTTTTTTTTGTTTTTGGGAAAGTCTATGATATGAGAAAGATATGATATAGAAAGAGTTTTGACCAATCAAAACTCACCCATGAATTTTGATAAATAACACCCGATTCGTTATTACATTTATGATTCCAATTTATTGGTTTTATTTTTTTGGTTGATCTGACAATTTAAAAAACAAAAGCATTTACATTATAGAAACCCCCTTAATTGTTAAATCTTTTTTTTCATATATCATCTTCTAGACATTTTTTTTAGGAATTGGGCTTATTGTTGGATATATTTAACAAAAGTTACATTTTAAAAATTTTCATCAATTTTGAATGATTATTTAAATGTTACTGTGATAGTTGGAATCCCCATATCTTCCATATTGATTTTCAGTATGGCACAAACACTTTATAATGTATCTTTAATGTAGGTGGCTATCAACTTCGATGCAGATGGAAAATGTCATGAATGCTCAGTGAAACCACTAAATAATTGGAGTAGACCATCAGACTTTCCTGCTATTAATCCAACTCGCTCTGGTAATAGAAATACTTACATCTATACAGCCGCTGCTTCTGGTTCTCGCCATCTATTACCACATTTTCCATTTGATATGTTGGCTAAGTTAAATTTGTCAAACAACTCTGTTTCCACTTGGTCTGTGGGAAGCCGTAGATTCATTGGTGAGCCCATCTTTGTTCCCAAAGGAAATGAAGAGGATGATGGATATGTCCTTGTGGTAGAGGTGAGAAATGAACTAATGTTTACATATCATATACAAAGGAGTTTCACTCATGTTCAATTGTTCATGCATCAAAAGATAATATTAGCCCAACTAGTCCCCCAATACCTAAACAACCAGATTAGGCTAGGCTCAGATTCAAAGCTAATTGATGCCTCGCAATTGGACCTCACTTACAAACCTAAGTGTAATTTTGTGGCTTGTATTAAATTTGATCTTCAAGGGAAAATTTATTATTCTGGAAAGACTTTGACCAATTACATCTGTACTCGTGAATTTCGATGAAAGTTCACCGGATTAGTTACTACTTTTATTATGCTAATTAATTGGTTGTAGGTTTTTCAGGTATCATGTCTTTTTAGCATCATAGTTGAATCCTAAAAAAAATGGGGGTAGTTGATTGCTTGGTATAATGGTGAAATCTGAAATCTGAGAATGTGAGTTCAGTTTGGGGGTTAATTTTGCATCCAACCCACTTTACCAAGATCCTAGACGGTTGGATTGAGAAAAACAGGAACCAGTTGGGTGACCAGTTCCGTTTTACTCCAAAACCGTTATTTCATTAAAAACCATTGATTTGATCAGCGAATTATTGACCTGGGCAATCGAACTGTTCAAATCATCCAACAGTTTGGATATTTTTATTTTTTTTAATTTTTTGTCAGAGCAGGCCGTCTATTTGGTTTGAATGATCGGACCATTCGACCCAATGATCAAACCTCTAACCAGTTCGTAGTTCAGTTCAGTTTTAAAAACATTGGTCAGAACTAACATTGGAAAATACCCCTTTTTACCTTGAATTCTTATTGAGAACTATTGCAATTCATGAACTCCATTTAGGTTCTTTTAATATGCATCCACCCAAATATAAAGATAAAAGATGATTTTTTTATTAATCTAACAATAAAATGGGGGTGGACTTCATTCTTATCTATCCAGATATTGTATTGCATTATTGCATGTAATTATATGTCAACGTATACCAACATAGTCTAAATAATTGAATTTATACGTATGTATTTATATATATGCTCCTTCCAGTAATTGGGTGTATATAATTATGATTAATTAGCTTTTCTAATTAAAGCACACCAAGTTTTTGTCAGGTTTTGAAAGAAAAATAAGAATATATTTTTTAATATAAGATCATGTTGGACATTTATTTTTATTTTTATTTTTGTCATAGATCATGCATGTTAGAGTCATCTAGTATTAATTAATGATATTGTAATCTAATATGTGTATATCCTGGTTTCTTGTTAAGCTTTTGCAGTATGCAGTTTCAATCCAGAGGTGTTACCTTGTGGTTTTAAATCCCAAGATAATAGGAGAAGCTGGTGCACTTGTAGCAAGACTGGAAGTTCCTAAACACCTGAATTTTCCCATTGGGTTTCATGGCTTTTGGTCTGCAGACTGTTAGATGCATTTTGATATATAGTTGGCTAGAGCAGAAAGCTAATTAATCATAGCTATGATAACTTAAATTCTGTTTTGTGCAAAGGAATTTGAAACCACGCATTGTGCTGTAGTCTCATATTGCGTTGCTGACCAACTCCAACACCTGAACCCAAATTACATTAACATTAGAAACCCCAAGAAAATTTGAAGGGAGAAAAAGAGTGATGAAATGAAAGTCAAATGGAGTTTAGTTTAACCTTCACGGAAATTAAAGGCTCTTGTTTGTTCAATGGTTCAATTAGAAAGATTATAAAATTAAAGGATTTTTAGATCTTACGGTTAAATAATGAGTAAAATAATAGGAAATGCTGATATGATATTATTAAATTTATAAAATTGAAAAATTATAAACGGGACCATTAAATAAAATAAAAAACTATTTAATATATAATCATAAATATTGAATATAATATATAAATGGGTCTCACTTAAAACTTTCTATTTTAAAAGAAGAATTAGTTGGGCCCCACTTGAGATTTCTCTCCTCCTTGCCACTGCATAGTTCGGATTTCCTGCACTTGCTTATATGTGTGCTGGGGTGCACTCCCAATTCTGAAAAAATATCTGTTAAATATAAATGTTTTAGTTTTAAATAATAAATATATATCTGAAAAAATATATATTCTGAAATATATATTTCCAGAAATTAAAAAATATATATTTCGATATATTTGTATATATGTTTTGGTTTTAAATATATATTTCCAGAAAATATATTCTAAAATATTATATATAATATTAACACTTTGGTTTCATGTGCATATTACAAGCTTGGAGTTGGTTGAAACCCAAACCAACCCAAACCGACTCAAACTGACCAGGTCGGTTTTACTTAATAGAGGGTCGGTTTCGGTTTGGTCTATAAGTAACCCGACAAGGTCAGGTCGATTGAAAAAACACTAGTAAACCGACCCAACCCGACCCGTAAACAACCCTACTTGCAAATGACTTCCACCCTTATTTGGTTTGCAATCGTTGTTTGTTAATGCACTAGGTTAGAAGCGGCTTGGTTTGCAACAGTTTTCTTTGTACTCATCAGTCAAGATGTCATATGCTTCACAAATTTTTTGAGAATTTTCTATAGCAATGTGGAAGTCGGCATTTATGGAGTTATAGATTAGTGCCCATCGACAATAAACTTTTCTAATCATAGTTTTCAAAACCGGATCAAATCGAATGGCTGGATTGGAAAAACCAGGAATCGATCAGGTGATTGGTTCTTCTTTTCTTTAAAATCAAAATTTTGCCAAAAAACTTTGATTTGGTCAATAAATCGTTGATCCAGGCGATTGAACCATTTGAACCATTCAACGATTTTGACCATTTTTTATTTCTTTTTAATTTTTCTATTTTTTTTGTCAGAATGGGTTGTCCATTTGATTTAAACAATCAAACCGTTCGACTCAAAAACCAGACCCTGACCGGTTCGGTTTTAAAAACGTTGTTTCTAATTTCTTTCATCCCATGTTTCGGGAGATATGTGAACTAGAGCGTATGACTTTATATTTGGAGTTCCGATTTATTCTTCTTTCATTTTATGTTAAACAAAGAAAAGGGGATTGGGGGTTTTACAGACGATATTAAAATTTGCAATGAAATATAGTCTTGGGGTCAAATTTTCACTTTTCCTTTTATTTTTTGTAAGTAATGAAAAAATAAACTAACATATTTAAACCGACCGTTTAAATGGCTCGCATATCTCAGTTAGAGTTCTATACAAATTCTGACTTGTCTCAATTTGATTGGGAGTGCACCCCTGCACAAAGGAAACTGAGTGTAGGAAATCCTAATTCACCGCTGCTAGGTATGGCAATGGGGCGGGGCACCCCATCCCTGGGTTCAGGGCGGGGCATCCACTCTCTTGTCGGAGATGAATAATTCTCAAATTTTTCCTGTTCTAAGGCAATTTTTTAAAAATTATTTATTTTATAGATAATTTATATATATAACATAAGAATTTAGGAGTATTTTATAGATTGAATTATAATACTTTGAAATTTCTTACAAAATAGAATTATGAAACTTTAGGATTTTAAGAATTTAAAAAAAATTTAAAAATATCTTAAATATCAATATTAAAACTAGAGATACTTTATTAATTTTACCTTCAGATTTAAAAAATTATATATAAAACCCGTTCCCACTCCATCTACGGTTTGGGATCCCGTCCCGTCGCCGTTTACGGTGCGGGGAAAACCAGCCCCATGGGAGAAATTGCCATCCCGCTGGAACCCAAACCAACAGCGGTGGTTCGGCATGATACACCGCAGCTACAACCCCCCTCTCTGTCTCTCTCTGCTGAATCTCCCTCCCCTGTCATCTCCTTTTCCACCCGCAATCCCGCTGCAACTCTGAGCGGCGGCGGTTAACACTCCTCTCTCTCCTTCACCGATTCAGTCGAGCTTCCTGCCATCTTTAATTTCATTACCTAATTGCCGTGTTCTTCTGCGAATAATACCTTTTACGCCGCCGGTGGTGGCAGGGATGCCACCGGTATCATCACCTCCCTGATCACAAGTTCAGCAGGTAGTGTCAACATATCAAAAGCAACCCGACAACAGTGATCCTACCTCAGTCTATTCCATCTTCTCTGCGGAAGCATCTCTCTCGATCTCGGGCTCACTCAGGCGGTCAGGCCCCTCCGGTTTCTCCTGCTACATAGACAACAATAACAATGCAATCGCCATGGAAAATCGCCTCTACCTCGTTGGTCACCTTAGAATTCCAACTGGTCAATTGCCTCCGAGAAACCACCAATGAAGTCAAAGCTCTTCGTGAGGAGAATGCCAAACTTCAATTGACCAACAAAAATCTCACTATGCGTTTGAACCTCTTGACTCAGGCGTCGCTCCAAAATTTATATGTTCCCCTCTGCTCTTCCATTTTCTGTCCCTCATTGACGATTTCCGTCGTCTATGTATTGGGGATAACACCAACACATGGTACTCTTTCGCGTTGTCCTTTGCACCCTTTCTAATTCCTCGTTGACAGAGACAACACCGCTATTATCAGACTGAAACCTTTGTCTGAGAGACCAAATGCATGTGGGGCTATTTTCGAATCAAACAACATAATGTTAGTGGAATTAGAGTCATTGTATACGTAGGATTAGAGTAATTGAGTCTTCTTTGAATTGAAATATGATATGAAAACTTAATTTGAGTCCTATTAGGATTATTGAGTCTAACAGTTTGACTCTTAGGATTATTATGAGTTTAGAGTCTATAACTGAACGTTTTACACAAAGGCAATAAATTATATTGAGTTTTCTTTAGCTTATAATAGATATGATGAATGATTCTAGGCACCTTGTGAGTGATTCCAAGTATTTTCTCTCTTCTTTTTATCTCTATTTTCTCTCTTCTTTTTATCTCTATTTTCTCTCTTATTCCTTTAAAAAACCATTATAATCATCACCGACCATAAAACTCTAATCAAGAAAATCATTCAACATCCTCTAAGGACTAGAACTAAGCAAGTCCTAAATCAGTCTTGGATTGATGGCTGAATGATGTAGGACCAGCTGCTTCATTCCCACAGCCGATATCTTTTTCACCATCTCTCTCCACTCTGACACTCATGGTTCAAAGTTACTTTGAACCATGGACTACTCCTTGATTTTATTATAGTTACAACTTAATTTCATGAAAGCATATTCGGGAAATGATATAAACCTTTGAACATCTGCGTATTTTCTACTTAATTAAATTATTAACTAGTTACATTATAAAATTAAACTGATATATTAATTAAATTTTTTTCCCACCCGTCACCCATGCCCATAACCCCCCAATCCTATTTTTAGGTTATTGATGGTAGGGCTTTTAATGGCTCGGATCTAGCTACCTGAAGGATCCAAACTAACCAAATCGATTCAAATGGTTTTGGTATTATGATTTTGTCCCTATTAGTAATTAGGTTGGTTCCGGTTCTTGTCTATCCTGAACTAATCCTGACCCAGAACTGATTATTTTATTAAATTTATATAATATTTTCTTATAATATTTATCATATGTTATATTTAAAATAGTAAATTTGATAGATTATAAATAAGATAATAATAATTAAAAATGTTTAATTCATTATCATTTAAATAATTTAATATTTTTCTATCAATTTTATTAACATTTAAAATTTAAATAAATAAATATAGTTTTTAGTAAATCGGGTATGGACTTGATAGACCCACAACTATTAACCGGGACAATTCAAGGTATGTAATTTTATCTTGATTAATAATCAATATGGGACTGGTTCTAGCTAAACCTATCCTGTTGACAGCCTTAATTAACATTTTGTTATAATGAGTCAAATCGGCCCTTAAATCAGCATTTAACCAGGTCAGCAATGAGCCATATTATATAATTCTTCGTCTTCTTTCCCCATAATGTAAAAAATACCTATTGGTTATCAAATTTTTATTAAGCAAAATAAAGACTATAGGGTGAATAGACACCAATTGTATCATGGACAAAGGTATTGTCTCAGAGCTGCCTATCTCCTCCTTCCACCCAACCATTGTTCATGCATGACTACTGTTTATATATTGTCTTAAAATATTCCACAAAAAATAAAATATAAAATTTATCCTTTACTATTTCTCGAATTTTCAAAATAAAACTCAATTGATGAAAATTTTCATCAATCTCTTTGAGTTTCTTTTTCCTGTGTCAATCTCTCCACGGAAAGTGACATGCTGCACTCTTCTCCTTTTTACTAGTTCCTTCTCACGCCCTAAAACCTAACCAAACCCTCCAGTCATTCTCTTTTTGCTCTGGCTCTCCCAACCATGAAAGATGACAACAGTAACGGAAGATGGTAACAAAGATGACAGTGACTCGGCAGAAACCGATGGAGAAAGGGAGTTCAATTTCACGGTATCTTCTGCCTCTAGTGACAGTTGAACAGACTCAAATCTCTCCTTCTCCCCTTTTGATGATTTCTTCTTCAAAGAAAACTCGT